CGTTCGCTCCGCCTGCGCCTGAAGGTCGAGACCGGGGGCAAGGGAGGCTGGCGCTGGCAGGCGGCCTCCCCACCTTCGCCCCTTCCTTCCTTCCTCCCCCCCCCTCCAGGGTCCCTTGTCATCCCACGGGGCGGGCTCCGAGCCAGAGGCTGGCTTCTGTGCGCCAAAACCTCGCCCCCCCTTAAAGCAGCAAAAAAACCCCAATCTCTGAGCACGTACAGAGTGCCCCCCCCCCACTGAGCGGCCCCTTGGAAGGCCTGGTCATGCCGGCAGGGTGGGTATAATAGCTCCGGGCGTCGCCTCCCGTGTGTCTCAGGGCTCGGCTCTCCCGAAAGAATTTTGCAATCAAAGATAACACAACCGTGGGTGGCAGGCCTCGGAGGTTGTTAACCACCCCGAGAGTGCTTTAAACCAGTGGTTCTTAACCTTTGTTACTCAGATGCTTTTGAACTGCAACTCCCAAAAACCCCAGTCAGCACAGCTTGTGATGAAGGCTTCTGGGAGTTGCAGTTCAAAACTCCTGAGTAACCCAAGGTTAAGAACCAGTGGTTTAAACCAGTGGTTCTTAACCTTTGTTACTCAGGTGTTTTTGAACTGCAACTCCCGGAAAACCCAGCCAGCACAGTTGGTGGTGAAGGCTTCTGGGAGTTGCAGTCCAAAAACATCTGAGTAACAAAGGTTAAGAACCAGTGCTTTAAACGCTATGGGGCGGTGCCCCCTAGCGCCCCCTAGCGCTTTGCAAGTTAATTATGCAGGCTACCCATTGCCCATCTATCGGCGAGGTGAGTCCGCGCTCATTTTGTCGACCTCGGAAGGCTTTTGGTTCCATCTGCCTTGCTTTCGCTGACTTGAATATCCTCTCTCGACTTTACCGGATTTGCACAGCAGGTTGACTCTTCCGCCAATGCCATGGCTCAGTGCATTACATTTTATGCCAATATAATGTCCCAGTGCGATATATGCCCTGTCCTGGTAACAGCCCCAGGAGATGGGGAAACATAATGTACCCCTATCTGTGGAGCTGACATGCTGATTCGCCCAACAGAGTCCATATCTACACTCAGGTCAGATCCAGTTCTCCTATTCATGAGTACTGAGCAAGGTTGCAAGATCATCAGGGAATAGTTTTCCACCATGGAGACCCAGATGTTGAGGAAATAACGTATATGGTTTTCTACATTTCATCCTTTTTGGGGGCTTCTCAGAGACCACTGTATGGCTGTGATCAGGAATGAAGTGACAATTTTATAAGCACAACCCTAAAAGTAAGCAGGTATCATAAGGGAAAGGGAGGGGAAGCCTTAGACAGCTGATAGGTTTCCTGACTCCTAAGTGCCCCCTCCCACAGAGTGCAGTCAAACTGTAGCTTCCTGGTTTACTACAGTAATTAGCTGAGGATAATGAAAGGTCGGAGATGGAGGCTAGAGCTAAAAATGGTAGAAAATTTATTTGTTTGTTTCTTAAATTTATATACTTCCCCATTAGTGCACAGGACTATTCTGAGCTGTTTACAACAATAAAACTCAGCAATTGTTCAAATTAAAATTAAAAAAAAAAACACTGAGAATAGCAGTAACTCCAAGCAGATCTGAGACTGAACACAGACTAGAGGCCATTGGAAAGCTTATTCCGTGGCAGTGGTGGCAGCAAAGGAGCAATTCTTCCCTTCCACCATGGCATCTACACTGGACCATCCAGCAGAGTTTTTTGGGTGGCCCCAGGGGCCTGTTGCACAGACGTCCGCAAGAGAGGGACAACGTCCCCTTGATGGCCTGTGGTGAAGATTTTGCAAGCACTTTGCAAGGTCTCTCAGATCCACTGATTTTGATGGTGTAGTTGATGCAGATCCTTTTGATGTAACTTTGGCCGTTCCTTGTTCCTGTTATAATGGATCCGTTTTCAGCCGGTGCAGCCTGAGGCTGTGGGCAGGGATCTTGGGGGGAAAAGTGAAAGCCACCACATGTGTGCTGGACCTTTGCCAGAGGGGAACTGTCTGAGTGGATTAAGGGAGTGATGAACCCCTCTTTGCAAGGGGTTGAAGGAGACCTTAGTAAAACTTCTGTTTTAAAAGCTCTCTTTCAATCCAACTGCATTAGATAATTATCAGCCAGTCTCCAGTAGTTCGCAAGAGTTTCAAGCATGTGGTAGCATCTCAGCTCAAGAGGTTCCTGGATGCATCTAAATCCATTTCAATCTGGCTCCAGATCTAGTTATGGAGCAGAGATGGCTTTGGTCACCTTGGTGGATAACCTACACCAGGGACTGGACAGGGGCGTGTGCGTCCCTGTTAGTTCTACTGGACCTCTCAGTGGCTTTTCATACCATCGACCATAGTATCTTTCCGGGGCACCTTTCTGGGACAGGTCTTGGTGGTACTGTCTTACTTTCATCCTTTCCGGATGGTGTAACCCAGAAGGTGGTATCGGGGAAATCCTGTTCAACATCCTGGCCATTAGCCTGTAGTGTTCCCCATGGTTCAAGTTCTGTCCCCCATGTTATTCAACATCGACATGAAACTGCTGGAAGAGGTTGTCCAGAGTTTTGGAGTTCAGTGCCATCAGTATGTTGACAACACCCAATTTTATCTCTCCTTCCCTTCTGATTCCAAGGAAGCTGTTCTCTACTTAGACCAGTGTCTGTTGTCAGTGATGGACTGAATGATGGCTAACAGACTGAAACTTGATCCAGACAAGACAGAGATGCTCCTGGTCAGTCAGGAGGCAAATCAGACGATAGGGATTCAGCACAAACTGGATGGGATTATACTCCCCCTAAAAAAAACAGATTTGCAGCTTGGGCTCCTGGACTCAACTCTGAGCTTAGATACGCAGGTTTCAGTGGTGCATTTGCATTTTTAAAGCTGGTATTCCATGCCTGTTCCTTGAGAGTTCTAATCTGGCCATGGTAACACGTGCCTTAATGTACACCTCATCTGAATTACTGCAATGTGCTCTATGGGGGGAGGATGCTTTTGAAGAATATTTGAAAACTTAAGCTGTAGCCAGGTGATGGTTACAGGTAGCATGTAACTCCCTAATGACAACAGCTTCACTGGTTGTCAGTCTGTTTCTGGGCTCAATTCAAAGTGCTGGATATTTGAAGTATTATGTCAGTCCATATGAGCCTATTTGACTTTTAAGATCTTCAGAGGAAGCCCTTCTCCTCCTCCTCTCCACCACCCTCCCAAGCTCGCTTGGTGAGGACACAAAAGAGGGCCTTCTCAAGTGGCTGCTCCCTGGCTTTGGATTGCAGGGCCCTGAGAGGCCAGGTTACCCCATCCCCTCCCTGCCTCCCTCTTGTCCTTCCCTCTGCAGGCAAAGAGATTCCTCTTCAGCAGTAAATGGGGTTCTAGAGACTGCTGTATTTATGAAATGCAGATATTTTCAACATTTCTAAAATGTTTTAAAAATTGTTTTTAATCTGATGAATGTTTACTTCTGTTTTAATAGCATAAGCACCCTTCAGTCTCGAGAGACTATGGTATCGTGCTCTGCATGGAGGACTTGGAACAGTATCTAGTGTGGTTGAGGAGGCCAATTCGAGAGTGACAGTCCCTTCCACACTGAGGACAAATACAATCTAGCTCCCTGATTTTGCTGGTTTTGGGACTGCCTCTTTGCCTTGGCCTGCTGGACAAGGGTCTCTTCAAATTGGGAGAGACCGTGATGCACTGCCTGCCTCCAGGCTGAATGCTCAGACGTCAGCGTTTCCCATCTGTTGAGGTCCATTCCTAAGGCCTTCAGATCCCTCTCGCAGATATCCTTGTATCGCAGCTGTGGTCTCCCTCTGGGATGATTTCCCTGCACTAATTCTCCATACAGGAGATCCTTTGGAATCCGACCATCAGACATTCTTACAACATGCCTGAGCCAACGTAGACATCGCTGTTTCAGTAATGTATATATGCTAAAAATTCTAGCTCGATCTAGGACAAGTCTATTTCCTGCCAGGTGATCTGTTTTAATATAGTTTTTTAAAAACCTGTTATCATTGTAAAGTTTTAATTGTTGTGAGCTGCCGTTGGTTCTCTATGGGGAGAGCAGCAACAAATAAATAATATAAACAAACAAATAAATAAAAATAACTGAACCTCAAGGTCTTACCCTCTCCTGGAAGACAGATCTCTGCATGCCATAGAAGCTGCTTTGAATGTCCTAAAGTACTTCAGTGAAGGATACTCATCCACCACCAATAATAAAACAAAATTAAGTGACCAGCCCAGTTTACTACTGCACATGAATGATGATGATGATGATTGAGGGGGAGCACCATTTTGTCCTCCGGTTGCAAAATGTATT